GGTTAATTCTCAGCTTTCTCTTGATGCTGAAACAGTGTCCCCCGACCTGGACACAGCTGACCCAAGGAGAGGTGTCACGTCTTTCTCTCTCCTGCCTCCCCCTTGTTCGCAGCAGGAAATGTGGGTTCTGCTGTGGGCTGATACGGAGTAGCAAGCAGATCAAGTCCCTGTGTTTCCTGCTCCTTGTCTCAGGCCGAGCCTTGGTCAGAGGCCCCAGCTCCCTGATGAAGAAGGCGGAGGTCTCAGAAGACCAGGCACCAGATGCCACGATGGAGGAATCCTCCACCAGCCTGGCCCCCACCATACTTTACTTAACCACCTTTGAGGCGGCACCTGCCACAGAAGAGTCCCTGATCCTGCCTGTCACTTCCCTGTGGCCCCAGGTAAGGAGCCTCGGAGCTGGAAAAGTCCTTGCGACCATGTCATGCTAACCCTTCTTAGTACATTTAGGGAGACTGAGGCACAGGGGCAGGAAGGAGTTGGTCCAGGCCACAGGGACTGGATGGAAGCCAGGTCTCCTGTTGCTCATCCAGCCCAGCTCCAGCCAGTGCACACTGTTCAAAGAGGACTGTCACTGTCCAGGCAGTGGTCCTGGGGGCTCACTCTAGGGGGAGCCAAGGAAGCAAGTGTGGGCTCAGCACACTGCTCTCTCCATCTAGAAAAGTAAGGCTCTTGGGGAAGAATTTTATGCATACTGAAAAGCGCAGAGAATAATAATTTTTACAACCCTGTCCCCAGAGTCCAGAATTAACAAGCTTTAGTTAACACTTTGACCCATCTGCTTCAGACCTTTAAAAAAGGATACCCAGAGAGGGAGCAAGCAAGCAAAAGTGGCAAATACACCAACCATTGGTGAGTCGAGATGGAGAGTGTATAGTCTTGTAATTAACACAAGGTGCACCATTGCACCTCTCCCGTGGCTTTGAAATTCATTTCAAAAGAAACTCATTAAAAATGATCAATAAAATATATATGTAGAAGAAATAAAAAACTCTTTTTAGCAATAGATCTTTTCTTATTTTCTTTCTGGGTCTTGCATCTCCCTGAGAGACTCATAAAACAATGGGGCATCTCCGAGGAATCCATGGGGATCCGTGCTGTCCCAGCCCCCTAAAGCCCAGCCGTTGAGCCTGGCTCTAGAAAGTGCCGTTATTGTCCACGTCCTACTGTGCGCAGATCCAGCCCCGAGACCACTGGCTGGGGCTGCAAGCAGAACTGACCCCTGGCCGTGGCCGAAACAGTGCCACCGAGTGCTGATGACTTCCGCAGCGGGATGAAGGGGCAGGGGAGCGAACAGCTGGGCTTCTCCTGAGCAGGCGTGACTGCCTTCCCAGCCCCTCCCTTAGAAGGCCCAGTAGATCGTTCTCCAGGCTGCATCATCGGCTGCCTGTAGACACCATCCTGCATGGGGGTCTGTGCTCTGTCAGCAGACTACCCATGCAGCCCTGGCAGCTGTCTCCGTGTCCCCGGGCTGGATTCTGGGCTGTCCAGCACAGGACGAGCTGGCCTCTGAGGAGCCCCTCCTTCGTCCTCTGGCCCCCGGGCCCCACATTCCTTCTTCCATCTGCTGGGAACTTCAGGCTCCCTCCTCTCCACCCGCCTCTGCAGGCTCAGCCCAGGCCTGATGGGGAGGTGATGCCCACACTGGACATGGCCTTGTTCGACTGGACCGATTACGAAGACTTAAAACCCAAGGTCTGGCCCTCTACGAAGAAGAAAGGTATGTCTACCCACCCCCGCCACTCCTGTGCCGGGCTCCCTCCCCTCCCCCACCATCTGCTGGTGAGCCCAGCCCGACCTACAGATGTCCGCAGAGGGGTGGGAGGCATGGAGCCTAGAATGGGAAGGACCCCCAAAATGGAAATGCTGCTCTCAAGTGCCCATCTCACGCCAAATGTTTCCACGTAGCAATTCATTTTGTCCTGGGGAAGGAAAAAAAATTAGATCAGTACTGCTGTTGATCCCACTTTAGAGAAGAGAATACTGAGGCACAGAGAGGTTGTCGTATCTCATCCAAGCCACACCGCGGGAACGGCGGTGTGAACACTCTGACATTGGCATCCTGTGCGTAACCCCTCTGCTCTGCTGAGCCTCAGCCTCTGACGACAGATCCTGTTGTCCCCAGAGAAACACCGGGGTAAACTCTCCAGTGATGGTAACGAAACATCACCAGCTGAAGGGGAGCCCTGCGACCATCACCAAGACTGCCTGCCAGGTACCGAACCAGTATCATGTTCGAGGCACTAGGCTGGGAACCTGGAGGGGGAGGGGGTGGAGGCAGGTGCTCCCAGATAGGTGAGCAGCATCCTTTAGGGACAGGAAATAATAACCACATTGCTGAGAGCCACTGTCATATTTCATTCTACCTAATCCTCACAGCAACCTGAAGAACGAGACCCTGTCATCCCCAATTTTCAGGCAAGGAAACTGAGCCTCAGAGAGGCTAAGTGTTTCGGCCAAGGTCACACAGCTAGGAAGTGGCTCAAACCTGAGTCTGCCTGGTTCCCTCCTAACATCTGGTCCAGCTTAATTCTATCCTTGTCCCATCACAACTCTGCTGGGCTTCTGGGAGTGCTTCAATGATATCCTGACCTGTTCAGCAGCTCAGCCCGTCAAGACAGTCTGTAAACGGGGGCCTGGTGTTTTGACTGATGGCCTAAACGCTGGCCCTTGATGGGTCAGTTGGGACCTCCGGGAAGCCATTGCTGAGGTGGAGTTAGAAGCTGCAGGGTGTCTCAGGGTGGGGGTGGCTGGGGTGGGGGTTGGTGAGGCCCCTGAAGGATAGAAGTGGGAGGAAGCAGGAACAGACAGGAGACCTGCGATGCCATCTCGGCCAGGTGGACAGGGAGCTCCAGGACAAAGATTACCTGTTAGCAGAGGCCCACACTGGGCAGGAATAGCCAGGCCCTGGCACCCCCGCCGAGCCAGTCACTGCCTGCGCTGTTCTGCCCAGGGACAGTGTGACAGTCGGCCCAGGTGTTCCCTGCAGGTGTTAACAGCCGGAGGCTAGCAGCTACCTGCTCTCCTGGCCAATGGACGGCAAATGCTTTCTGGAGGGGGTGGGGGGTGATCCGAGTGGCACAGCTCCATGGCGATTGTTAATTCAGTGTCCAGAATACTCTACAGAACAGCAACCAAACCAGCCATTTGGCATCGTATAAGCCAGGCCACCAGCTCCAACAGGCTGTCCTCCTTTCTAAACCATTGTTTTCACCCTGAGCAGAAACAAAAGGCTCAAGTTTGGGTCAACTGTACAGTGGCTCCAAGAACTGGCTCCATGGGGGCCGAGGCCGGGCCTCGAGCCTGCCTCCCAGGGGATTCTGTTTTCCCAGCTGTCAAAAGAGGACGTTGGTCAGTGATCCCTGAGGCCCCGCCCAGCTCCAAGCTGGCTCCATACCTGGCAGCCCCCAGCTGTTCCATCCACTCTCCCAGGAGGGGATCCCACAGCGCCTTCGCTCCTCCCAGGATCAATCAACTACCCTTCTGGGGCAGCTGGGGTCTCTGCCGCCTGTCTCTGGGGGGGGGTCTCGGCCTTTACATCCATCGATGGTTCAGCTTGGGAGCCTTTCGCACCAGATGGCCCACCCTGCCAGGGACAGCCCCGCCACGGAGATGATGGATCTTCTGTCCAGTGGGAGTGTGTGCAGGGCGGCAGGGAGGATCCGCGCAGCATGGTTGACTGCGTGTGCTTGCCTTGTGTGCAGGGACCTGCTGCGACCTTCGGGAGCATCTCTGCACGCCCCACAACCGAGGCCTGAACAACAAATGCTTCGATGACTGCATGTGTGTGGAAGGTGAGCCCGACGCTGGGGGCCCCCTCGGTGCCTGCTGAGAACCCCACAACCTCCATTCCTCCTGGAAGCTGGGTGGGAAGAGAAGAGAAGAGAAGAGAAGACCTAGCAGGAAAGCTTTGCTCGGTGCCTTCCCAGTCTGTGAACTCAGTTAGTCTCGATTCCTGGCATCGTTGCTCAGATTTGCTTTCCTCACCTCTTGAAACCCAAGCTGGCATGATCTCCCAAGATCTGGGGGCAGCAGAAGGGAGGAGAAAGGAGTGTATCTTTTAAAATTTTGAGATCAAACTTGAGAAGGCGGTACTTTCAAACCAGAATTCTATCCCAGGAAAGGCATTCCAAGTATGATAACACGGGGTGGGGGTGGATTTTCCAGCACCATCCCAGGGAAGGATGCACATGCCCAGCTCTCTCTTTAACTCCTCCAAGCTCCCACCTGGAGCGGTACGTGCCCTGCTGCTCAGGTGTGCCCAGGTGTGCCGGGCTCTGTGCTAAGCACTTTACCCGTTATCTCCTTAATCCTCACAACCATCCCGGGAAGGGGGCTACTATTATCCCCACTTCACATGAGAGCAAACTGAGGCACAGAAAGATTAAGTGACTTGCCCAAACCTACACAACTAGAAAAGTGGGGGCATAGTTTAAATTTTGTATTCTGAAAATTTTCCAACACATATTAACATAGTCAGAATAGTATAACGGGGGATTTCCCATCACCCACCTTTAATAATTATCACTCACAGCCCATCTGTGCTGCCTGCCCCACCCCCATCCAGTTCCCCCGTTCCAATACAATTTTGAAGCAACTCTTGGGAGTTTACAGATATTTCATCTATGACTATTTCAGTATGTATTTCTAAGAGAAAAGCACTCTTTTAAAAACAAAATACCAAAAATGCACAATTGCTCACTGTCATCCCATGTCCAGTGTTGACATCTCATGAGTGAGGGAGTTTGGTCTCAGCTCCTCTATGGACCATCCTGAGACATAGGCCCTATTTTTGCTCATAGCCTCAAAAATTATCTGCTGTGAAAGCAATAAAGCTGCTTAGGTCCGATTATTCACGCATCCACTCAGTCAAGAAATACTCATTGAGTGCCTCCTCTGTGTCGGGTTCTGTTCAGGACACTGGGGACTCAGCAGCAAAGAGAACCAGCGGGTTCTGCACTCATGGATTCCATTCTAGGGAGATGAGCAGACCATAAGCAAATAATTAGTTGCCTTTAGAAACTAGTAAGGCCTGTAAAGAAAACAATCCAGGCTGGGCTGATGAGGAGTCTGGGAGTTGTGTTAGGGAGGATGGACAGGAGCAGACAGCAGAACCAGACACCTGAAGGTGGGGGTGGAGGGAGGGAGAGAGAGTCCCGGGTAAGTGCAAAGCCAATGACCTCAGGCAGGAATGAGGCTGGCATGTTTGAGTGAGCCTGGCACACCATGGCCAATGGGGAAAGTGGCACAAGGGGAGGTGGGAGAAGCTGGTGGGGGAATATCACCCCAGCACCTTATTGGCCTTATTCGATTTGTAATTGGAAGATATCAGCAGGTTTTAAGCAGGGGAATGACCTGGTCTGATTTAGGAGTATAAAATCTCACACTGGCTGCAGGACTGTGCAGGGCAAGGGTGTATACACGGGGGAACAGCTGGGAGGTAAGGGGATGGAGGCAGGCAGGGTCGGGGAGCAGGGAGATGCTGGAAAGCTGCCTTCTGTTACCTGTGTGCAGGGATGGGGGCCCATTTTGCAGAGAAGGAGACTGAGGGGCAGAGTGGGCTGGAGGCCACTCCAGTCCAGGGAGCCCAGAATAGTGCCAGGTCCTCAGAGTTCAGCTTGCCTAGGTGAGGGGGATGTGGCCCTACTGAGCTGTACATGCCCCACTGGGTGCTCAGTGTGCGGCCCCACTGCCCAGGAAGCCGTCCTTCCTTCCTTCCCTGGGCCTTAGGTGGGAAGGCACAGCTTTCTAGGCGTCCAAAAAATATGTGTGCATCCAAAACCCCATCTGCTCATTTCCTCTGACCCCTGTTACCCTGGTTGGTCCCACCACAACTCTTACTTCCTCCCTGGAGACACAGGCTCCAGAAAAAAAAATTTAGAGTGGAAATGACAGTTCATTAAAGATGGTCCAGGAAGACATTGTCACCAAGATGCCACACCAGAGGGATCTAGGTGATACCAAGAACCCTCATGAGGACCAGGAATCCTGAGGACTTCTGAGAAATCCTGAAATGCTGAGCACGGGTACCAGGGCTGAAGTCCAGCACTCAAGGCCAGCCTGGGTTCTGGAAGGTTCAGGATGGGCTCCTGTGGCTACCGATTACTCCTGCCCATGGCCCCCTGTTCCCTCCCAAGTGTCACTTGTGTGGCTACAGGTCTGAAAGCCCAGTAACCCAGGTGTAAATTCTAGACCCCAAACACGAACTTCACAGCAATTCCTTTATTCTCTTGACAGTGACATAAGAGGATCTTAAAGTAGTGATGTCCTCTCTCCCTGTAGCCACTCCTAAACTGAAATGTAGGGATTGCTTAGGCCACAGTGACATCTCTCCCCCAATTCCTACCGCCCATCAGAAGGATGTGGCCTTAAATAAAAAATATGTCTACCCATGTATGTCAGGAGATGCCTGTGGCCAGATAGAGCCACAGCCAGGGAACCCTCCCTGGGTCAGGAGGGTCATGCCTACTTTAATTAAGGTGGTCAGGGAGGGACCCTTTGAGACCTGAAGGCTGTAAAGGAGCCAGCCATGCAAAGAGCTTCAGGAAGGGGTTTCTGGCTGTGAGAGCAGCAAGTGCAAAGGCCCTGAGGCCAAAAATGGCTGAGAAAAAGCAAAAAGACTGGGTATGGCTGGAGTTAGAGAGTGAGGAGGAGTACGGGGTGGAAAGCAGACAGGAGGCAGGTCCAGGTCCCAGAGGGTCTTGTAAGTCAGGATAAGACACTTAGGTTTCCTTTGGAGCACAGTGGGGAGCCATGAGAGGTTTTACAGGGGAGGGCAGAATCTGCATCTCTTTTAGAAAGGTTTTTTATAGACTATTTTTCAGAACAGTTTTAGGTGTATAGAAAGATTGTGCAGAAAATACAGAGTTCTCATATGCACCCACCACACACACACACACTTTCTCCTATTACCTTACATTAGTGTGGTACACTTTTTACAATTGACCCAATATTGATACATTATTATTAACTAAAATCTGTAATTTACATTAGGGTTCACTCTTTGTCTATGGGTTTTAACAAATGCATAGACATGTAGCCACCATAATAGTATCACACAGAATAGTTTCATGGCCCTAAATATCCCCTGTGCTCCATCTGTTCACTCTTGGCTTCTTCCTCTGATGATTCTCTTTTTTAAGCCCATTCAGGCTGCTGTGGGGGGATGGGCTGGTTGTAGGGCTGAATAAAGAAGTGGATGGTGGTGGGAGGATGCAGGGGGTCCCAGAGGGTTGGGGAGAGGGGACTGCTGGTCGCACCCTTGACCCGCTTGCCTCTCTTCGCTCAGGGCTGCGTTGCTACGCCAAATTCCACCGGAACCGCAGGGTCACGCGGAGGAAAGGGCGCTGCGTGGAGCCCGAAACGGCCAATGGCGACCAGGGATCCTTCATCAACGTCTAGCGGCCGGCGCAAGGCGCCTCCCCAGGCCTGGGGGCTGAACGCGGGAGGCTTCGTGAAGCCGGGCGATTTGTTTATAAGTAGCGGTGGCAGATCAAACGGAGGACCCGATGACTGAGGCTGCAGGCTCAGGGCCAGGACACTCAGCCCCGGGAGGAGAGCCCTGGGCGACCTGCCCCAGCCCACGAGCCGAGCAGCAGTACACCTGCAGCCACCACCTGGCCGATGGGAGACCCACGCCGCCTGCGCATCCCGTTGTCCGGGTTCTCCGCGATGGCAATGTCGAGAGTGCCCTCTACTGTCCGACAGTAGCACTGCAACGGCTTCAAGTTAAAAAAGAAAGCGGGTTTTGAGCTGGAAAGAATGGAAACTCCCTGAGAGACAGGGAACCCAAGGGCAGGAGATGAATATGCAGCGCTTCCTATGTACCAGGCACTGTACTAAACGCGGGGCATACGTTATCTCATTTATTACGTGACCTTTTAAAGAAGGCATGGTTACCATTTTACAGGGGAGGAAACGGAGGTAGGGTTATCCGACTTGTCCAGGCTCCCAGATCAATGCTCCTCCAACCTTCACCTGTGTAAGAATCCCCTGGGGATCTGGTTAAAATGTAGATTTCAATTCAGTAGATTCTGCATTTCTAACAAGCTTCGGGGAATGTGGATGCTGGTGGACCAGGAACCCCAATGAGAGCACCAGGTCCTAGGAAGTAAAGGGTGGAGCTGGCATCTGAACCTGGACCTGTCGAGCTCCAAGGCCCACGACCTTGCTGCTCCACAACTAAGGACTTATTCCAGGTTCTCCATGGCTTTCAGTGAGACATGTTCCCTCGTAGTTCCTTTTGCTGTGGTGAAGGCTGGACTGACTCTTATCTTCCTTCCCTGTACAAAGTGTATCATTTTAAAAACAAAATGTGCATTAAGCACTTGCTTGCTTGTAAGGCATGATCTGGGCAGACTGGCCCCTGCCGCTGGGAGCTGTCGGAAGGAACCAGTAATGCTCTTCCCTGTTTCTATGGCTCTGCTCGCCCAGTCTTGGGACGTGCACTTTGGAGTTGCCCGACAGTTGCCATTCCAGGGGTTCTTTGGCTTTTGTAGTTCATGTCCTTTGAGAATCTAATGCAAGCATGGACTCAAAAAATACACACGTTGCCCATGCACACCCACTTTTCATACGTCTTGTGGTTCCTAGGCCTCCCAGAGACCATCCCAGGACCCCCAGCCTACCCTTCTGCAGCAGAGGAGCTGGAGTACCTCTGAGGCTAACTGTCTGACGCTAACTGTCCCCCACACATAGGCCAGACCCATCATGCGCCCCTAGAACATCTCCCAGCAGATCCAGCTCTAGGGGCCACCTCAGGAAAGCCACTGACCTCCCCCAACCTGGCATCTCACTCCTGGTCCCCCCTCAGGTCCAGGGCATCCCAGGCTGCAAGGCTTCACCATCTAGATTCCTCCCTGGCCTGGACACTTGTCAGAGGGACCACACCCACGGGGTGCCAGGGCTGTTTACTCCATTGGGAAAATCAGTTGGGGTCAAGGGTCTGGCACCAAGGAAAGCAGGCAGATGGAGGAGAAACCAAATACACCGGCTCTTTTCTCCCTACTCAAGTTCAATAGGCATGGGAATCTTGATGTGAGGGGACTGAAAGAGATCAAAGGCGGCTCTTTGGAAATCAGATCCGCTGGCAGTTTTGTCCTTTTGAGACCAGACAAGGCTCATGCTGTGTGCCTCACATGGCGTGGCTGATTCAAGATCGTGATAGAACCTGGGAGGGGGTGGCTGCAAGCAGAGAACCCACAATTGCTTTTGTCTGGGGGGCAGCGGTAAGATGGCCCTAGGCCATCAGCCATGGAAAACAGAAGGTCAGGGCAAAACTGAAAGTCTCCACAAAACGAGCATGGCCTACCGGGGGGGTTCCAGGGCTAGAAACTCACGGCCTCTCTCTTTGCTTTTAGCATTTGCAAGGATGGGATGGGTGGGCTCCAGGGTTAGGCATCCCAAAGTCCCGTCCATGTTTAACAAAACTCTCTGCCAGGAAGTTCTTCCTTATGTCTATCTTAAATTTCTTTTGCTGTGGTACAGAAGCCCATTTCCTCTCATCCAGCGTTGGACAAACTTTTTTCCTCAAGGGCCAGATAAATACTTTAGGTTGTGTTCCAATGACACTATTTATGGACACACATTTGACTTTTATATATTCATTTGTCACAGACAATTATTCTTTTGATTTTCTAAAACTCATTTTAAAATGTAAAAACCTCTTTTAACCAGCAGACTACGCGAAAACAGGCAGTGGGTTGGATTTGGCCCATTGGCCGTGGTTGGCAGACTGCTCCTCTAATCTGCTGGTCTCACCCTCAGCTGCACATTAGAATAATGGGGGGAACTCTCAAAGGTACTGCTACCCGGACCCACCTGCGAAGATTCGGGTTTAACTGGTCTGGGTGGTGTCTGGGCTTCATGCATTTACAAAACATCCAGGTGACACTACTGTGCCCTGGGCCTGAGACCCCACTCTTGTCCTCCTGACTCTGGGAATGCAGCTGTTGACAACTGCCTGCTCCACCTCTCACCACCTTGGTGCCCTCAGGAAATTTAATTAAGGGCTCTGTGCCTTGATTTCTCTATCTGTAAAATGGGGATAATAACGCTTCTTTCATAGGGATGTTGTGAGATGTAAATGCAAAATCTTTGTCACATGCTTAGAACAGTGCCCAGCACGTAATAAGCCCTCAGTGTTAGCTTATTAATTTTCTAGGATGATTTTAGTAGGTGTTCTGTTCTTTGACAGTGATTCATCACATACTCAAAGATCATTTCAAAGTCACTGCTCAGTGTCCTTCCCCAAAGCGTGTCCCCTGGATCACTGGGACCGTGAGATGCTCCATTAGAGAAGAGGGGATGGGGTTCTGTGGTCAAAAAGGTTTGGAAAGCCACTCTGGACTCAGTCCTAGGCAGCGTGTACAGATTCCGGCCACCGAGGTAGAGCTGGAGGTCTCAGTGGCTTTACAGTAACAAGATCATGAGCTTCTAAAAATATGCCTGGGGAGTCAGCTGAGCAGGAGGCTAAGTGGAAAGCCATAGCTGTTGGGAGAGTTGCCCGTGCTCCCTGCATTCCTCCTGCAGGAGTCTCCAGGCCATTCCCCAGAGATACCCACCGTTCCCACGGGGCTGCCTTTCTGTGATTTGTCTGGCGATGCTGAGAGTGGCTCCCGAGCCCGCTGGGAATAAGTAAAGGATCAGAGGACATGAGAGCCACGCTGCATGGGACAGTGCCAGCTTCGCCTGCCCCTTGAGGAGTGATCGAGTCACAAGTTACCTCCCAAATCCAGGACCTCTTCCACCACTGAGAGGCTGCAGGTGGAGCCTGACTTCAAGCTGTATTCAGCACATCCAATAAAATCTGATGTCAAGATGGTGAACATCAACTCCCTGGCATGGGATTCACTTTGCAGCTGGAGAGACAGTGAGCATGCATGTAACCCGCGAGGAACATGTTTATAAAACAACAGAACGGCAGGGGAAAATGGGTGCTGAAAGAGACAGTGGGAGGGGCCCCAAAAGCAAACCATTTAGGGTCCTTGTTGGGGGTTTCATGGGGTTGAAAGGGCACCAAGACCTCCATGGTGACCTTCGCTCCCATGGGAGACAGGAGTACGTGGGCTCGGGAGGAGGCAGCAGGACTTGGCAATCTGAAGAACAGGGGCTTCCACTGTAGGGAGAATATTTTCTGAATCCTAAATCAGGACGGTGGTCTGATAGAGGATCGGCAGCTTCCTCTGGATGCAAGAGACTTTCTAGACCCTCCTTACTCGCTGTGTGGTCCAGGACCAGCAGCGTGGCATCACCTGGGAGCTTGGGAGAAATGTGGGATCTTGGGCCACGCTTGGGACCTGCTGAACCCAATCTCCGAGGATGGGTTTTCATAAGTTCTCCAGGCTGTCCATGTACATGATAACGTTTCTGAGACACAGGTCTAGGATACAGAGAGGGAGACGGAACTTTTGGACGGTCAGGGACATTTGCATTTGGGTGTGAATTGGCAGGTCTAAGATCCAGTTTGCCTGGGTAATAACCAGCAATGATAAACTCACAGGCTCCGAGGGCCTGCCTCTTTGGCTGGAACCGACCTGTATTTTTAGGAGAAATCAGGTGGAGCCCCTGGGCCTGGGGCCTCAGGCGTTGGGTTTCCTAACTCTTAGCTTCCCTCGGAGGGACTGTGGTTCCTCTTTAAGTTGCGGGGCAGCGGGGGAGGGGGCTGCTATGCCCTTGTAGTCCTGTTGCATGTGCTCCTTTGACCTGTAAATAAAGAGATGATGCTTAATAAGCTGCTGTGTCCTCTCCCTTTGCCCCTCCCAGAGACGGTCTGTCTGTGCAGGCAGCGAGCACTGTCAGGGCAACTGGAGGGGACTCTAAGCCCGATATTTCTCCAGCCACTTACTCATCCACCCCACAGCTTTGACTGAACACCTTCTCCTGAGCTAAGCAGCAAACAGGCAGACAAAGTCTCTGCTCTCACCTGGATCACATCAGGTCCTTTAACCAGACCCCTTAAATGGGAGTTTCATATTTGTATCGCCCTCCCATTTTAGTGTCGGGGCAATGAGGGTACCAAAGAGGTGACAAGAGTGGTCACATACAAGGCTGGCAGGCCCATTCCAGGCCTGGGTAGCTGAGTGCAGAGAAAAGCAGATGCTGACTTCAGGAGAAGGGGGAAGAACAGAGTGCCACTGCCTGAGGCCAGGCCCGGGCAGGCTCAGATGCCACCTTGGAAAAGGGCATGAACTGGCAAGAGGGTGGTATGGCTTAGCTTAGCACCAGGAAGGATGTCTCTAGGCAAGAGTGGCAGCTCCAGCCAGCACTGCCCAGGTCCGTAGACCAGGCCCCGCCTAAGCCTAGCTGCTCAGAGCAAGGCTGTGTGATGGCTCTCAGCGACTCTGCGTCCTAAAGCCAAGGTAGGGTCTAGACTGTCCTGGGGGCCAGAGTAAGCACAGGTGTGAGAAGCCCTCGAAGTCCTAATGTCCCTGTGGGGCTCCCCCTGCCCAGGCACCACTGAGAGACTGGCTCTTGCAGCCTGGGAGGGGCACCCCCTAATCCAGGGGTTCCTACAACACGGGCCTGGGGTTCCAGCATCAGGATGCTCTGGGGAGCAGACTGAGGTTTCTGAGCCCCACCCGGGCCTCCGACTCAGAATCTCCAGGGTGGGCTTGGGGAGCTGCATGTTTGATACCCGCACTGCCCCACCTTCCCTTCCAGGTTTGAGAACCACTCCATCCAGCCTTCCTGAGAACTCACTTTCCTCCCCGCTCAGGGCCTGGGTAGCTGGCAAACCTGCCCCTGCGGATCGTTCTTAGGAATCGAGCCCAGAAGCTCCTCCATCATACGGGCATCGCAAGTCACACTTTTTCTGTCCCAAGTGCTCAACTCGGCCATTGCAGCACAAAAATCTCCCCTAGACAACATGGAGATGGTTGAGCACCAATAAATGCGCACGGCTGTGTGCTAATAAAACTTTATTTACACAGAAAGGCAGCAGGCTAGATCTGCCCTTGGTCCACAGTTTGCCAACCCCGGATCTATACTGCTGAGCCCGGGGTCAACAGGTGCAGAAAGGCAAGCTGGGCTTCTAAAGACTCCTTATATCCTGGAATGTCAACTCAAATCCATTTCTGCGAATGGGAGTCAGCGCAGTCTTAAGTGAGGGGTCAAGACCAGTCAAACCCAAGGTCACGGGGATTTTGATGCTGTGTGCTGACAGTGTGGGTACTGCCCGAGGGGAGCAAGTGGCTGGAGTTGGGGGGGTCTCAGTCAGGGTTCTACAGAACCAACAGAGTATTAATTTACATATCTTTACATATCTATGTATTTATCTATCTCTTCTTTATATATGTGTTTATATACA